TAACTAAATAATTATATAGATAGAGTTTATATTTAGCTAGCTAGTTCACAAAATTGATCAGTGTTTAAGGTTTAGTTTTTGTTCAATGTTCATTCAATTAATCCCTACCCTTCAGTACATTTTTACAAATGTACAGAAATGTAGAGAGTAAATTACCACCCTAAATAAAGATTCCTGAGTCCTTAAGTGACACATCCTAGAAAACACCACATTTGTTTTCATTTTAATAGAATTAATAGTCTAACACCAAAATGTATTTCAGCTTGAGTAATCATGTTTAATGGGGACAAGGAAGGGGGCGGTACATTACCATATTTAGGAAAAGTGTGTGAATTCCACCTACTTGCAGTACCCGATCAACAACCATTAGGGGGCACTGCCGGCACTCACACTCACACAGATATCTACCAAAAAACATGCGTTATGGGCCAAAGCTAAAAACTTCACTGCTACATTAAAAACGTCTTTTTAATGAATTTTAAATAGTTTCCCTTATGGGGACCTAGATTTAGGTCCCCACACCGTAAGCGGTCCCCATGACGTGACTGTGTAAACAGCTTGATGTCCCCATAACGCCGTAAATACCAGAACACACACACACACACACACACACACACACACACACACACACACACACACACACTGCACACACACACACAGCCTTGAAGCACTAACAGAGGGTCACTGTGGCTGTATGTTTTCGATACGTTCCTACTCCGACACACCTGATTCTAACTGCTGATGATCTCCACAATCTTCTTCGGGTTCTGCGGGGGCTCATTTTAACCCATCCACTGTCCTATCAAGTGACCCCGCCAGGATAAGGGGTGGTTAAACAGTTTATCCTTTGGCAAGAGTGAAGTGGTGCGCTCCGAAAAAAAAAAAAAATAAATAAATAAATGAAGAAGCGCCTGGGGCCCATCTGACCCCATAAAAATGCAGGAGGGTTAATTAAATCTGCGGAGTTCAAGCAGGGAAACATGACATCTAAAACAGGCAGGAATCCGGGTGCTTATACATTAGAGTCGGCTCTATCTCTTACGGTCCCGCATGCGTGATTCATTTTCATGTTGGATGTTGAGTAAACTTCTCTGTCTGTAGCACGGAGCTGCCGTTCAGTAGGAACGGGGGTAGAGAACAGAGCCTCTACTCTTCCTCCTCTATCTGCTTCCTCTTCAGCACATCCTGAGCTCCTTCAAATGAATCTCCTACCATCTTTATGCAGATGACATCCAACTGTACATCTCCTTTAAGCCCCATGAGATGTCTAAGCTGCAGCTGTTACACACCTGCTTAGACTCTATCAAAGCCTGGATGGCTGGGAGCTTTCTACAGCTGAATGACGATTAGACTGAGATCCTCATCTGTGCCACAGACAAGCTGGTTCCCAAAGTCAGAGACTCTCTTGGTCAGCTTGCTTCTCACACCAAACCTTCCGTCAGGAATCTTGGCATGACCTTTGACCCAGCTCTCACCCTGGATTCTCATGTCAGTTCTCTTGTTCGCTCTTCCTTCTTCCATCTCAGGAACATTGCTAAGCTGAGTCCCATTCTGTCTCGCTCTGAACTTGAGACAGTTTTCCACACGTTCATCTCCTTACGCTTAGACTACTGTAACTCTCTTTTTACGTGTCTGAGCAGAACCTCCCTGAACGTCTACAGGTGGTTCAGAATGCCTGTGCTCGGCTTCTGACCAAGTCCTCCAAACACACCCACATCACCCGCTTCTCCTCCAGCTTCACTGGCTGCCAGTCAACTTCAGGGTTCATTTCAAGATCCTGGTTCTGGTCTATAGGGCCTTACATGGACAAGCACCATCTTACATTGGTGATCTTCTTAGTCCCTACACCCCCAGCAGGTCCCTGAGGTCCAGTGACCAAAGCCTACTGGTTCTGCAGCACCAGGCTAAAGACCAAAGGTGACAGATCATTTGCTGCTGTGGCCCCCAGACTCTGGACCTCTCTCCCCCTGAGCCTGAGATCAGTGGACTCCTTCAAAAAGCAGCTGAAGACTCACTTGTTCAAGCTGGCTTTTGTATGACCTTCTTCACCACTCTCTCTTTATTCTGCTCTCCCCACCTATTCCACCTTCCTCAGGATCCACTGATTTCCCTCTTTCCTATTCACTCTCTCTCTTTCTTAACATTTTTTTAAATCACAATTGTCTATTTTTGCTCATTTTAAATATATTTTAAACATTTTCTAAATGCTTTTTTATATTTTTACATTTTTTGTTTTTGTGAAGCGCCTCGTGATTTTTATCTTGAGAGGCGCTATAGAAATCATTCTTTTTTTCTTCTTCTTCTCCTTCTTCTCTCTGTGTGCCTGTCCTCTGCATCGGAGCTCTTGCCCCGGCAAGCAGGCAGTGTGGCACAAGATTATGAGGACACACACAGCAAATTAATAAAATAATGTGGTTCAGAGTCTCCGAAAGCAGCACAGCTCACGCCCCCCCTTTGTTTACCTTATTATGGAGGACACCACGGACTTACCCGCGCATATTAAACGCCGCCACAGACTCAGGTATTTACGCATCCCCGAGAAGTCCCTCAGATTTGTATGTGAGCACTACACCGCCCGTTCGAGACTGAACTGACGCCATCCAACCCCACCAAACACCGACCGTGCCAACCCTAATGTGTAAGCGCCATTTGATGGCAGCACACCCCTGCTACCTACTAGCTACAACAGGCTAAATCAATAGAGTAGTGTAAAGTTGATTGCTACGCTAGTCACTCAGCTTCAACGCACAAAAGATGAATCCCTGTTCATTCCCCTCCCTACTCTTCCACAGTTAGCTCAAAGTTTAAAGTCTTACATTAACTCAATGCAGGTGGAATTAACATTCAAGCTAGGTTAGTGTGCTAAGCTGAGTTAGGTGCATCACCTCGTAGTGCAGTCTGGGAACTGGGGCACATTTTTGTTGATTGACATCTGCTTCTTGTGAATATACAAAACACTCTAGGCTTGTGTAGATGTTTGGTTTTGCTGTAGAGACCAGGAGTGGGACTTAGGGGAAATATTAATTAAGAAAGGTCACCTACTTTAAACAACAGAGTCAGATAATCAAAATTTTAAAGTTACTTTAGAATTTTTAAACAACAAACTCCAGCTTTAAACAAGGCTAATGTTCCCAGACAAGTTTTATTGTTTCCTCTGACAAACTCACCAAGCTGCTACTGTACTGACTCTTCTCGTCTGTTTAATCAAACAGAGGAATTTTGACAGCAAATTAAGTGAGCATCTAACATCTGGGTGATAGATCTCTGTTTCCCATTCTCCCAGGAGGCTCTATATAACCTTTGGATCAGGCTGTAACAGATGTGGGATTTAATCTGTTCAAGGAGGAAGCCATGTGGCCTTGATTGTCATCAAATTTGAAGGGTGACACGTTTCACGTATCCAGATAAGAAGGCTCTTGAACATGAAATCATGCTTTAACCCTCCTGTGGCAGGCTGTCAGGGCTGAAGCGGTTTTATGTCGTGTGATTGAAGCGCTACAACTGGTGACACCGAACCCTGGGGGCTTCTTGAAAAAATCCAGTGTTATTTGTTCACTTACCACAGAATCTCATCATGTAAACTGATTCATCTGTTTAATTACAGCTGTAACACACACACACACACACACACGCACGCATGCACGCACGCACGCACACACACACACACACACACACACACACACACACAGGACTGAGATTTGAAATTAGCAGTTCTTCAAATGCTTGTATTTTTCTGCATAAGTGAGTGAAAACATTCAAAACTAGCAAAGTGTCCCTAAATTGAGATTTAAGTGTAGTGTTAGTTATTTTATTTGTCAAGTAGAGGCTCGTGGGCCATGTTAGCCTAGGAGCTATTTCCATATGGCTAAAGTAACTTACGCAGTGGTACGTTGTGATTTTAGTTACTTAGTCAGTCTGAGTTCTCCCTGAGCTCCCAAACTGCAGAGTAGGTCTATAAAATAACAACTGTTGAGTAAAAATTGAGTGATGCACAGATATGACATTTTTGGACCAATATCAATATGCTGACATTAATGCTTCTAAAATCAGCTGATTTTGTATAAAATAAACATCATTAAAGCTGAATTTACATTATTACATACACACACCACACACATTTACACTTCTGAGATTATTACATTCACTGTCACATGACTAAACAAATACACATCACCCCCTCACCCTCTGAAGCAGGCAAACAAATGGAAACAAGACGGAAAAAATATCGGTTGTTAATATCGGCCTGGTTTTATTTATCGGACCGATACCGATATTTTAAAAAATGACTTACATCGGCCGATACCAATATTGATGCTGATACATTGTCCGTCCCTAGTAAAACGCTCCTCCTGAAGCATAAACCTGCAGTGAGGCAAGCATTTTGCAGAAGCAACTGCATCCTAATGTTTATTGCTATGTTGGGTTTTTTTGCACTCTACAAATGTTAGCATTGAAAATAATCGCCCAGCTTTTTAGAATAGGATCATCTCATGTTGAGACCTGGTGGATTTATAATTGTTTTGGTCCGGATCTCACACCACGTGGCACAGTCAGCGCTCAGAGGATGTGCTGAGGATGACTCTCTGCTCCAACTTTGTAAATTTTAGTTCAATAGCTGTAAAATTGACTAACTCGTTTTTTGTTAGCTAGGGGGACATTAGCTATGCCGAACATCTTCATTGTGATTAATTCCAAGAGAAAATGAGCTGTAGACCTACATCCAATGATCTCATTTGAGTTTCATCTTTCACCTTTCAGGGTGAGTGCTGATTACTGTGATGCTTCAGTTAAGTTTTAATGAAAACTTCATGATCAAAAATAAAACACACATTTCAGAATCTATGTTTACAGTTTCTAAATGACTTCTACTGTCTTTATAATAAATATTATTACATGTAGTGATTGTTCCCTCTGTTACAGGCTGGACATCCCTCTGATTTTATGTGCATCCGTCAGTCACATTATGAGCTAACAAGTGCTGCTGTATTTGTTGCTTCCAGGCTTCAGCATCACCGACTCCAGCTACAACCAGCCTCAGTTTTCTGCTGTTCAGCAGCTGCAGGATTCCAGCACTCTGGAGTCTCAGGCTCTTTCCTCCAGCTTTCATCCCCCAAATCTGCTTCACGTCCCTGGCAATGAGGTGGTGAGTACTCAGGGTCTTAATCTTAAATATTTAGATCTTGTACTTTTTAATTAAAAGCAACAAATCTCTATTTAATTATTGTGTTGCTAATATAAAACTTTAATCAATGTTCAACTCAAATTGTAACCTAACTTCCACTAAACAAGCATGTTTCCTCTCATTGTTTTGTCTGCATCATAAACATGACCCTGCCTGCTTTAATGAGTATTATATTGTGTCTTTATCTTTTATCGATCCAGACAGATGGGCTCCTTCAGCCGAGCGGTGAGAATGAGCTGCAGCTGACTACAGAAACACCAGACTACCAGGAAGACAGTGAAGACAGCACGAAGAGAACCTACAGGTTTGTTTTGGACCCTTTTCCTTTGGCGAGAGTCACTCTGTGTAAATATGCAGAGTACTGCCACCTCTCCACTGTTTAAACTCCAAGCCTTGTAGCAGCTCTGCAGTTCAAAGTCTTAAAATTACTCAGGCCACCCTTGACTTGCAGTGGAGCGACTCAATCTTGGCTTCTGTGTGCTCATTTCATCATTTAAGGTTGATTGCGCTACAACTCTCGAGTTTGATTAAGCGCCATGCTGCCAAGGTGATTTTAAGACTACGCTGGGCTTTGTTTCTTGGTCATTTCTGCCAGTCCGGCTGAAGACCAGACATTTGCTTTGAATGCCATTTGCTGCTCTCATCCTATTTATATTTGTCTGTATTTTAGAATCCTCTGAAGATAAGGCAACAACGTTTTAAAGGGCTCTGTTAGTGGGCCTGACCCACAGATATAATCATTCATATCAGTGTACCTGTCTCTTTAACGTGTTAAAGTAGATTTTACATTGTTTTGGCCAGCATGTTTAATCTGAAGTCATCAGTTCTGAGTTAGCAAAGATCCCTAGATTTGCCTCACTTTTACCATCTCTAGCTCATCTGGAGCAAGCTGTTGGATATAATCTCCATCCAGTCCTGGGTCTTCCCCCATTGGTCTCCCTCTGGTGGGATGTGTCTGAAACACCTCCGATGGAGGTCTCCTTAGCCAAACCCAGACCACCTCAAAGGACTCCTTTTAATGCAGACCAGTAACTCTTCTGAGCTCTTCCCATTGTCCCTAAGGATGAATTCAGCCACTTTGCAGAAGAAACTAATTTGTTATCAGTAGCCTCTCTCTTCTGGTCACTATCCAAATCACAGACCATTGGTTAGGGTTATAATGATCAGCAGCTTTGCCTTCAGGCTAGGGATGCAACGATACTCCTTATTTCCAAACCAATACGATACCGATACTTGGATCTGAGTACTCACCGATACCGATTACCGATACAGCTACTTCTACCACACAAAAAAATGCAATGATTTGGAATACAGATTTTATTTTCTTCTCTGCTTTCAACAGGAACATACTGTGAGGTAGATGAAAAGTAAAATATATGAATAAAAATCATCACAAAACTAAAATATTAGGTGAAATGAAATGACAAGTTACAGTGAAGCCATTTTCAAGCAACTGCATTGGTATCGGTCCCTGGTATCGGTTAACTTTTACCGATACTGGAATCTGTATCGGTATCGGCACCTATACCAGTATCTGTATCGGTGCATCCCTACTTCAGGCTTTTCATCAACATCTGGCTCCAGTCTACCGACACTCATGAACAAGACCCCAGGATACTCCAGCTCCTCAACCTGGATCAGTGACTCATTCCCACCCTAGAGTTAGAAATCTATTTTTTATGTCGAGGACGGAAGTCCCAGACTTGGAGGTGCTAATCTTCATCCCATCTTTTCCACACTTGGCTGCAAACCATTCCAGGACCAATGGGACCACATATTCCACAAAAGCAGCTATGCAGTCTGACTGTAGACCCTCCTTCACTTGGCTCTAAACTCTGATCATAGATGTACAAAGAATTAGCAGCAAAGGGCAGCTCAGAGTCCAGCAATCACTGGAAATCTGACATATTACTGGTAATGGGAATCAAACTCTGAAGTCCCCCCACAGGGGACAAGTCATAAACCCTCAAATGTCCTTGTGAGGGTTAAAAAGCACATTATCCCCCAAAACCTGAGGTTGGACTATCATTCAGACTATGGCTGAGGAGAGTTCCACCACTCTGGTGTAAACATTTATTATACTTAATATTCTTGGTAATCATCTTAGCAGAGGTATTTGTCTTAAAATTAGAAAACAATCCATTAGCAGCCTGCTGATGTAAAATAAGAGCTGAAGCAAATGAGCTCCGATTTTATCCAAGAATTAAACAACCTGCCTGCCAGCTCCTCTTTGCCTTGTCAACATGTTTATCCTGTTTGTTTATTTGTCCTTAGCATTGTTGCGTTATTTTATGAGAGATTGTGTTCCTGCATTTATACGAGGAGACCAGGAAATTGATCTTGGAATAGATGGTGAAAGAAGAAATAGTTTTGAAAACAAACCATTTAAAAAGCTTTATTGGGATTTGGACCGGAAACAAAAGGGTATTGAGGCACTGATGGAGGTCCTGGTGTGACACTGGTTCAGTCAATAGGGATAGAGTAAACAAGCTCATCTGAGAGGAATGTTTCAGGATAATATAAACATAAAGCTGGATGAGTCAATTTCTTTTGGAAAAAGATGGTTAGTACAGTAAATTGAGAAAAGAATGCCAATAATAACTGGAACGACTGTGTGAATTATGTCCAAAAAACACAGAGGAAGCCTTCAGAGTAGTGTTGGATTAACAGTTTTCATGCTTTCTTGTTTCATTTTAATTCAAGAGTCCAGCAACTGCTGCCTGTGTCACCAACTTACTCCAGTTATTCCATGCATGCAGCAAATTTAAAACAATGTAGTTACAATTAAACGTTGCAAATGTTCGTTATGGTTTTTGTGTCTTCAGATGCACCTGGTGCCCTAAAGGTTTTAAAAAGTCGAGTCATCTGAAGCAGCACATTCGATCCCACACTGGGGAGAAACCATACCGATGTGACCTCTGTGGGCGCGGGTTTGTTTCAGCCGGAGTGCTCAAGTCTCATCTCAACACTCACACGGGTAAACTTGTTTCATAGCTGCAAACAGTTTTCAAACTTTTTTTCTTAATAAATCAAACCAAGTCTAAACTGTATTCAGTCCATGCTTTTGAAGTTTCAGTAATTAATTAGACTCTACATAATCTGTAAAATAATAATGTGAAGTGTTGTTGGAAGTTTAGAATATTACAATTCAGAGTTGCAAGTGAAATTAAGTCTGTTGCTATATTCCCCAGAGTTAGATGAGTGGGAGAAAGCAATTCTAACAAGCTCAGTCATTCTCCAGTTAGCTTTAGCTTAGCATAAACAATGTAAGTGAATGATAACGGTGAACATTTTGTGTGAGAAAGTAAGAAAAAGCCTCAATAATGATCCTAAATTTTTCTAGGTGACCTCGATAATCATATCAACTGCAAATTAAAACTAGATGAATTGTATTTCTTGCAGAAATGCTGTTTGAATGCTGAATAGCTGAACTGAAGTTGAAACTAAGCTAAATTGTCAAAATGAGCTGAATGTATTTTGAGCATTTGGGAGCAAAAATCACTAACAAGTGAAATGAAGCCCAGAACGTAGGTGAACAGTGGGGGAAAAAAATTCCAAACAGCAGAAAACTGAAACCTCTGAACAAAGTTTAAAAGATGTGACGACACCTGAAATGAATGATTGGTTGGTGGTTAGATCAAAAAGCTGAAAGGATTTTGTTGAAAATTGAGCAATCCCATTTATTTCAATGAAAAAAAAGTTTAAAACGATCTCGAAAAATATTTAAGGAGTCAATGCCAAAAGTAATGCCCAGAAAGAGCTTAACGAGCTGAACGTTTGGATACCAAATTAGCTGATATAGCTGAAAATTTGAAGGAGTTGAAACAGTTCCAAAAACGTAAGGAAGCTGAATAAAGTGAAACAGGATCTCTATAGTTTGAATGTTGTAACCAGCATTCAATAATAACACAAAGGAATTACAGGAACAGATTAAGACTTGAGGCTGTATAATGACAAAGCACCGCTGTGAGGTGTTGCTACAAGGCACAAGGACATGACGCTGCAGCCCTAAACCCGCTGTTTACTATCGTAAGGGCGAGATTTTGTAAATGTTATTCGGTAAGCCTGGAAGTGACAATTTCAGCCAGACATCACGCCACTGCATCATGTCCTTGTGCCTTGCAGCAGCATCTTACAGTGATGCTAGTTGTTACCATTCACTTACGTTGTTTATGCTAAGCTAAAGCTAACAGAATACTGCCAGATTAGGAAAATGACTGGGCTGGTTACTAAATGCATTTTCCCACTTATCAAGTTCTGGGTAATTTCACTTAGGGGTGGAATATTCCTTTAAACTAGAAAAAAATTCTGCTTTCTGCTTTACTTTATGTGTAATGAATAACTTGTATTGTCTCATAAACTTTGAAAACTAACTTTCTGGAAGCTGTAGAGATTCCTTTTCTTTGTCATTTCTCACCAACAGGCATGAAACCATTTAAATGTGATGTTTGTGATGCGTCTTTCACCACCAACGGTAGCCTGAGTCGCCACGTAATCATCCACGCCAAGTCTTTTAAATGTCCGCTGTGTACCGAGAGCTTTAGGACGACTTTACTATGTAAGAGGCACATGAAGAAGGAGCACGGAGTTCAGGAACATGGTAAGAAGGCTGAAACGATGTTTGGAGGTTACATGTTTATTAGGGGTGCACCAATATGAAAATTCTTGGCCAAAACCCAAAACCAAAAATGAGGAAACCAAGACCGAAAATGAAACACCGAAATAAATTATGCCAATAATCAGAACCATAGCATTTATGGCTACGAAACAAATAGAATATTTATAAAATAAAAAAAATTATAAATGTACAGGCTTAAAGTGACTCTGTGTATTTTCCCTGGCGATAGGGGCCAGTACATACCTAAATCATTGCAAGCAAGCATTATTTTTGTGTTCAAGTAAGACCTTACCAACAGATGACGGTTAGGGTAAAAAATCCTTGGGATCACAACCTCCAGCAAAATAACAAGAACAGCAGATTCCCTTTCATCACTGGCAATGAGTGAAGAGGTAAATATGTAAAACAACAAACTAACCATTTGTTACAAAATGCATTCTGTCCTCATGGGCTTCTGTAGAAGAAAACATGGCATCCAATATGGTGTCGCCCAGGGACTTGGACCTGCTCCCGTGTATTTTAGACCCGATTTTTATGGTTCTTTCTATATTATAAAACCACCAATATTTTTCAACAGCTGGGCATCTTTTAATTCATTTACAACAACATTTCAGTGGATATTTCCAGAGATTAATGGTAAAAGCTACACATTGTCACTTTAAAACTGAAAGGCCTACTGACATGGACAGTAAAATCAACCCTTTAAGCGCCAAAGTTGCAATATTGCGTTTAACGAGCCACAGCTGAAAATATAATCCTTCATGAAGTTTTCACCAGAAGACATTGGAGATGAGTAACTTCAATCTGAGCCACACTTTTGTGTGTTTCTATTGACATTTTAAGAGTTTATAGAGTTTGAAAACTGCCCCTCCCCTCCGTCAAGAGATTCCCGACTGAGGGGGAGGTGAGCAAAGCACAGATTGTGAATATTATTTATCAGAGAGGAGAAACTTACAATACTGACAGGTGTGTTCACTATTTTTCAAAGCTCTTTGTCTAGTAATGGCTGACTCTGATGAGTAATAATCACCCTCTGATGAAGATGTTCACTCGTCCAGTGAAAAAGAAGGGGATGCTGAGTCTGTGTGCTTCATGAAAGTAAACACGTGTCACACACATGATCCAAAGCTTATTTCACTGTGTTCAGGACATGGTTAGAAAGGATGCTAAAAACTCCGCTAATAGTGACAGACGTAGCAGGAATGTAAAAGAAAAGCCGGTCTTACGCAGTAAATAATAGAATAGAATAGAATTCAACTTTATTGTCATTGCACATGTACAGGTACAGTGCAACGAAATGCAGTTTGCATCCATCCAGAAGTGCTTTAGCCGTGATATAGATGTATTACAATGTATATTAGCAATAATATAGATGTGTAAGTAAATTACAGAAATGGATCTATTACGTATGTTATAATGTACACGGTATGAAGTATGTTATGAATATTCTATGACTATAAGTATGTACAGGCTGTAGTTAATACAAGCAGTCCATGAGTTTAACGTGGGTCATATGTCAGGAGGCAGAGTTCAGGAGTCTGACAGCTGTTGGGAAGAAACTGTTCCGGTACCTGGTGGTCTTAGTCCGGAGGCTCCTGTAGCACCTCCCAGAGGGCAGCAGGGTGATCAGTGCGTGTGATGGGTGGCTATGGTCTCTGATGATTTTCCCTGCCCTTTTCAGACACCGCTTCCTGTAGATGTAAATGTGAAAGTGAAAGCAAAAAGTGCGTCACATAACTGATATGAATATCCCAGCGATCGAAATAAAATAGCATTACTCAAAGGGGAAAAACTTTACTTTTGTGATTCAGTCTGAATGTACTGATTATATGAATCAAAGAGCAAGTTGCCACATGAGGGCGGAGCGAGGTGAAACGAAAACGGGGTTCACCTGATGGCCTGTTTTGACTGTGTTGTTTCAGTGATTTAGGTGTTTCGGCCAAGAACCCAAAATGTACTTTTGGGTCATTTTGGGCCAAAAATTTCAGTGGCCGGATTTTCAGTGCATCCCTAATGTTTATACAGTAAAAACTGCCCATGATAATGTACAAATTTATGTGGTAGAACATGTCTAGTTACCAAAAATGTGCACATCTAGTGTTAAATTTATATTGCCTTCTGAAAGTCCTGGTATGTGTGTCTCAAGAGAAGGAACATAAAAAAGGATCAATCTCCTTTTATTTTGCCTTTATAAAAGAGGTCAGGTATGTCAGGAAAAGTCTAATAAATTCCTCAATTCAGTGATCGGTGTCAGGGCGACATCTTATTGGTTTACATTTCTAACTGAAATCCTACCTTACAGCTGCAGAGGTTAACTAAGTAATTAGCTTGTGAGGCATTTAATAACTACTGTGTGTTCTAGAAAAACCACATCACCCTTCTCATTTACACACCTGCTGCTATAAGGCGTGACAAACCTTCTAATTGCAGTCATAAGTCTGGATGCGCATGACGGGGAAGAAGAGGATGATGATGTAGAGGCTGAACAGAAAACATCAAAGAGGAGAAGTTTGGAAATCATCACTTTCACCGAAGAGCAGGCCGCCGAGCTGGCTAAAGATCCTGGTGAGGAGGCGTCTGTGTCGGAGCGGATCCTCGCCCAGTCAGCGGCTGAGAGGGATCGGATCAGTGAGATCAAAGACAAAGCTGTGGAGCTGGAAACCGAACCCAAGTTTGCCAACTGCTGCAGTTTCTGTCCCAAGAGCTTCAAGAAGCCCAGCGACCTCGTCAGGTAAAGGCTAATGCATGTTTATCAGTAGTTAGTGGAGAAACTCTTCAGCCTGGAAGGATGTTCATAATGAAAGTCTGTGGGAGTTGTTCATGGACACCACTCTGACTGAGGATGATAATGATTATGTAGTCTTTGTGAATGTGGACCTTATCAAGTCTCGTTGATCCCATCTGGTGAAATTAATTTGAAATTAACCTCAATGTCAGGATGTGAAAGTGCAGTGTAGATTAATTATCACCTCTCTAACACCTCACTCTTCTCCTTCATACATTGGGTCAGATAAAATCCTTGTAATTCCAGAAACAGTTGATCATCAATGAGAAACAAAGAAAATGAACTGCATCAACTCCACGTAAAATATTATTGTTTTTGCTAAAACGTGTCTCACTGCTCCATGTCCTCTCACCCGGAGGAAGTTGAGAGGCGGAAGTATTGATCTGATCGATTCAGCCTGACTCAGCTCCGTCTCTGCTCGTGAGCAGCAGCAGTGAATACTTCTCTCAAGTCGAGTTTGAGGTGACAAGGAAACGGCTACAAAGAGTTTGTTCAGCTGAAAATCCGATTCATGCATCGAAACATTTAAATGTCCTAATTGGCCTTTACCTTGAATAGACACAGCCTTAGAAAAACAACACAGCACCTCCAATTAAGTAGTTTTAAAAAGTCTCATTCAGTAAGAAACTGTAATACTTCTGAAATACAATCTGTCACGCTGAGTTTCACTTGCATGCTGAATGTGAATTTTTTTTTCCACCCCCATCAGCTGTATTAGCTGCAAATGGAAAAAGGATTGGGTCAGAAACAGCCAGTCTTACCTATGTTACAGGGAAGATTAGCATTCATGGCCCCGCCCACCTCTGATTTCAACCATGAGGAGAGAGTAGAGTTTTTGCTAACATGGGCAGCGATAGAGTCCTGTTGCTGTTAGCCAATCAAAGGTGAGACATTTGCACACCATTGATAATAATGAACAAGACTCGTAATTCTGACGTTTTCTGCCCCTCACTCCTCTGTCTAAACTTGACTTCCTGAAACAGGCGCATCAGAGCTTTTTTCCCCCACAGAAAACGGCTCACAAGGTGTTCTTGAGCTCACAGCAGACCTTTAGAGCAGTGTGTGAAAGCCTCAGCATGGAGCACATTTTATTACATTTTCAGAATCTCCTTGGTCAACTGTTAATGGCTCAACTAAAGAGTAATGTGCCAGAACTGATTATTATCAATCTTAGCTTTTGTCAGAATTAAGCTTTCAGTAAGTGTTCCTAATAGTGTGAAAATCACATTATCGATTTGCCTCTGATGTCTAAAACAAAACATATGATTAAAAGACTTTCAAAAAGAATTGTTGATGGAGAAAAATCACTTAAAATGTTTAGAAATGTAGCAAAGCAAGGATAAACTCACCATTTTGCTCAGTTCTGTGGCAATGATCAATGTGACTTTGGTTTGATCAATAAGATGACTTTAGTTTTACTGTAGGACATTGCTCTAACTTACTTTTTATGTCCTCAGAAGAAAAAAATCAGTTTAATTCTGAATCAGCGACCCTGCAGCGTCCTGCATCCTCCTGCACAAAGTAGAGTTGTAATGTTGTAAACACTAAAGGTCAAAGAGATTTCTGGTAACTTCACCTTGTAACCGTAGAAACAAAGACCTGCAGCTGTCTGACAGAAACGTCCTGATGTCTCATCACTGGACACCTGAGTCAGAAGGCTGTTACCCCTTCTTTCCAACGGAGCCGTCAGCAGCACCTTACTGCAGCAGCACATCACAGCTGCTGATAGGAACCGCTGTGGTCAGCAGAACCTTTTCCATCAGAGCCGTCAGCAGCGCAAGTCGGCCGCGTCTCAGGAGCAGCATGTCGCGGCCCTTACGCGCCGTTTCTATTTTCTACGCGCGGCGCCTCTGAAACGGGTCAAGCAGGGGCGGCGTTAGGCCCGGCTACTTGGGCTCAAGCCCCGAATGTTTTATGAAAAGCCCCGGATCTAAATCGTGGAACTAACATGCAGTACCAAAGTCCAACAGAGAGGGAGCAGCTGGCAGTAGTTTGTATACAGCCTGCCTGAACTTCCACCACTGAAGAAGAAGGCCTTCAGCAGCCGGTGTCGGTACAAGATCTGCTCGGGTGCAAGATCGGCTCGGGTCCGTCGACTGCCGATGACGTCTAAGTAGTTGATTGGCTGAACATGAACCTTACGGAATTACGTAATCACGTAACGTTGTTATCACGTGACGTTGGTCCAGGCAAATTTTTTCTATTGGAAAGATGGACAACTTTTACAAAGAAATCCATCATTACCTCTTTGAAAATACACTTTTAGCATAGAGCTGCAAGTATAATAGGGCTGAACGATTAACTGCATGTGCAATTAAATTGCGATGTGACAAAAGGAGATTTTCTAATGGCAAAGGCTGCAATTTGGCAGCGAGTGGTTAGCGCAATGCTAATATACATGGAAAAACCCATAGGAATGCTAATGCTAATATCGCCGATTACATTATTACAAATTATGAATTAGAAACGTGCCAAATGATTACATTTGGAGTCTAATAGAAAGTAAAACTACCATCAATCAAATAAGTACAGACAGGTATTTTAGTAAAGCCAGAAAACTTTTAACTCCAGAGCTTTGGCTAGCAGCTATGAGCGTAACTGAACTACGCATGGACAAGACGTCAAAAACTCAACACAAATACTTCAATAAACGGGACACACTTCTTTCCTGCAAATACAATTTCACAGGTGTTGCTAATACCTGTGATTCTTCAAGAGATGTGCTCAAAGAGGAGCTCAACATGAATCAAATATAGTGTTTTATTTTACAAATACTATTATAAACACAAACTTACGTCTTAAGAAACATTATTTTAATAACGAAACTGCTAAATTCTTTCCAACAGTATAGATGTGTAGTGTATTTTGTCCGAGTGGGTTTGCCGTACTTTGACGTCATCGGTAGTCGAAGGACCCCGAGCCGATCTTGCACCCGAGCAGATACTGTACCGACACCGGCTTCTTCCACACTCTCTGCCTGAAACGCATGAGTGAAGATGGACATAAGGACGTTTTTAGACCAAAAGTACAACGACAGAACCCCAGCTTTGATGAGACTGGTGTTGACTCAGGTTTGTGAGTCTTATTTGAAAATATTTGTTGTGCTGCTGGTTTGCCTAAAGTTAGCTTACTATCAGGTAAAGTTGTTGGAGAAAGAATGCGGGAATATTTACTATCATCTCACACTAAACACTAACAGGAACAATACTCTGCCCTGAATATGCTTAATATGTAGCTTCAGATTAAAAATTATGTGGTACAAGATAAATATATATGATGTTGACTAGTGCGTGTCACGTGTGTGTGTGCGCGCGTGTGTGTTAAGCCCCAGATCTTCTTCAGTCCTAAATCCGCCCCTGGGGTCAAGTTCGACATTTTTGGGGAAGGAAAGACAGGAAATCGGACGCGGAAACGGAGCAAAGCTCTCGAGATTTTCAGAATAAAGAAACGTACTGCCTTCCAGTTGCTTTACTTTAAAAAAAGTTACTAACTGTGCAGCCCCGTGAGAAGTTATCACCTAGCTAGCGGTCTCCTTTGTTTTTCAGGTCCGTATTGGCGATTATAAAACAGACAGAACCTTAAACACAAAACTTTTGGAGCCATGTTGTAGTTTTCTCCTGCTTGTTGTTGTGTTTACTGACAAAGTCACTCGTGTGACTTCGTGCTCTGTCGGTGACAGCGGCTCTCCTGCTGCTTCGCGTCTCGTGGGAAGGGCCAAGCAGCAGCTTATGCGAGCAAGACGTGCTGCTGCAGTAACGTGCTGCTGACGGCTCCGGTGGAAAGAAGGGGTTAGTCTAGTTGTGTAAAAGACAGATGTTCCACAAACAAACACTAAGCGGATCTTTCATGTGTTGATCTTTGAGATGGTGCAGGTAATCTTTTATTCTAACAAGCTTTTATTCATATTGATATAATTTAAGAAAAGCAATATTTTCTTGCAGAACAAACATGAAAAGTGTTTCAGAGAACGGTCCTTTGGGAGGGTTGAACTAGGGTCAACAAAGACACCACCGAAGTAGGAGCTTAATAACGCAAACATTCAGATTAAAAAAAGACCAGAAGGAACCTAGTTTTGTTTGTTTGTTGTGTTTGACTGAAGGACCCCCCCCCCCCCCCCCAGTCACTTTCAACTATCTTCCTTTTATCTGTGTTTGAAGTTGTTCCTAGTGATGTATGCTTAAGATTATTAATTTATCTAAAGATAACAAAAGAAGCCTATACACAGCTTGTGTTATCTTTATAAGCTCTAATACTCAATAAGACCTAAAAAACATACCGGTAAGAGTGTGAAACTGAGTTGAACTGGTGGTTTATATTACAAAGGCCTCTAGACACAGCTGTGTGTTTCTAGACTTTTTAGAGTGGGACTCAGCCTCAGGCTCTCCATCCTTTAAACTACCGTACTCACACGCTCCACAGTGAGCTAAATGCAATATGTATTTCCTATTTTATTATTTAACTGGTAACATAAAAGTAGCTTTCATTTTGGATCTGGTTGCTGCTTTGAATCTCTGGTGCGTCCCTTGTGCCGTTTTAAATTCCACATGACCGTGTGTTTGGATGTTTAGGCACATCAGGATCCACACGGGAGAAAGACCGTACAAATGTGATGAATGCGGGAAGAGTTTTACTGTGAAATCCACTCTGGACTGCCACGTGAAAACACACACAGGTTGGTGCTTTATCAGCTTAACGATGAGCGGAGCCAATATGACCTCACCATGCCGGCTTGTATTTGAGGTTCCTGCTAAACAGCTTATTGTTTTTGTACTTTTACTCAAGTGATGTTTTAATCTTGATGGGGCAAAAAGGCTTTTCTTTGAGGCGGAACTTCAATCTAAACTGACTTCAGTCCCATTTCAGTGTTTTTCACTTCATTAGTACCACTGTTCAAGTATTTGGACCATTTTGAGGTTGTTTTTTTGGTGCATTTTTAGGTCAAATACATTTTAGTTTGTTTTGTCTTTGCTTAAACCCGCTTCTTTAAATTGGAAAACGAAAACAGGCCGTTCTTGTTACAAATAAAATACTTCTAAAACTAATTTAACAGGTGGATTTTTCCACAAGGAACAAGTCTGAATGTTTAACCTCAAGCTGTGATACATAAGGACTCCTGTTCTGTAGTTGGATGATAATTCATCTCTTAACATTTGCAGGTCAGAAGCTGTTCTGCTGTCACATGTGCAACACCTCCTTCTCCACAAAAGGCAGCCTGAAGGTGCACATGCGCCTCCACACCGGCTCCAAACCCTTCAAGTGTCCGTTCTGTGAACTACGCTTCAGAACTTCAGGCCACAGAAAAACCCACATTCAGTGTCACTTCCGTCCAAACGGGGACAGCCGAAAATCCAAGCGCTCTTCTTCGTCTTGTGGCCACGCCAGACAGAGTCAGGACTCGGGGCAGGCTGTGGCCTCGGGTCAGGGTCAGCAGCCGGCTGCTTCAGAGTCTTTGCACCCCGTGGCTTTATTACAGACGTCTAACTCAGACCCCAGCATTTACCTCCCAGCTAACCAAGTCATGACGGGTCAGTTTGACCAGAATCTACTGCAGCCAGGACTAGTCGGCCAGGCCATCCTGCCAGCCTCCATGTCAGGTAGGTGTTGTAGGAACATCTCAAACATTGCTCAGATAGTCACTATGTCCTGACCAGTCGCTGACTGCAGGTCAACCTGCTGGTTTTCATTGGTTTCCACCAGTCTGAAGGTTTGTTCTTCGGGGTAAGACATTTATGTCAGTCTGACAAGTCCAGAACCCACAGGATGAAGGTCCTTTATTGCCACCAGCTACCTTCTCTGTTCCACGTTTTTCTTTAATGAAAACACAGTATTGGGTTTTTCTTTTATACACCAAAGTCAGTCAAAGAGCCCCCGATCATGGCTTTAATCAGCTTAGATCTACTATAAGGAACTAAAGGTTGTTAAAGAAGCACTTTAGATGGGTTCACATTTGAAAAGTTGAGCATTAAAGGTTTTATTTTGTAAGAAATGACAAAAGCCTCAGCATTCTAAAGCCTTTTTTAGAAATCTAAACTTTTGCCTTTTTATAGTCAGATTTCCTTATCTTTAGCTTCTAAAGTTCAGCTTCACTTTCACGTAATCTTTAGAAAAGTTAAAATAGTTTCAAATAAAACTTGCTTGTATTGTCAAAAGAAAAAGGATTTTGGTAAACTAGCTGAGTTTTGGAAGCAGCGATGAGCCCAAACCTTTACTAAATCATTCATAACTCAATCAACTGGTTGTGATGGAAAAGTCAGCATGTCACTGGTCTGCAACTGGTGGATACAAAAAACCTGAACGGGATTCTGAAACATGTCCTAAATGTCCTAAAATGTTGATTCATGTTCTCAGTAGAACCGCACAAAATATTTCAAACTAATTGTTGCAATTTTCTTAGATTGCAAGGAACTCATTGAGTTCACTAAGTTAAATATTATCCACCTAAATAGATGAAAGTATTATGATACCAGCTGAACGTGTTTGTTTTCATCCTTTCTTTTTACTATTTGGCTTTTAGAAATGTTTGTACTTTTCAACCAGCAACATTTTGGATTTCAGGTCTTTGCCATTGTTCTCTTGGTGGGACTTAAGGCAACACTAAATGAGTTTCCCCACTTTTCTCTCCTACTAGTTGAAAGTGGAATTACAGCCATTGTAAACCACCCTGTGACAGCCTGTTGAAGCTAGTACTAACAACAAGCTAACGCTATCATGAGACGACTGATACTTAATTAGCCACGAAGGAAAAGGATCCACACTGTTGGAGAAAAAATACTAATACTTACACGTGTAGTAACAACAACGCCAGGTCACCATCAGTCCGTTCCATCAGGGGCAACAAAGGGGAAACCACCTGCGCCCCCCCCACACACACACACATAGAATAAAAGATGTACGGATTTTTACTTCAAGAACCACTGAAACCAGTTTGAAAGCAATAGCTCGATGATGAAAAGTTCTTGATGTTGCTTTAAAAGGTTGTAAAACTACAGAGATGTGGAAGCAGGTGTCGCCATGATGGATCAGAAACAGAGGAGTGTCTAAGCTAACATTGTTATTGCACTATTGAATATCTACTAGTATTGTGCAGTTTTCAGTTGTCTTTTTCTTGTGTTGCAGTTTTGAACAGGTTCTATTCTTTTGGAGACAAGTATTCTCTGAAGAGTCTGAGTTGTTGTGCACATAGACTGCCTGCCCTGAACTCTTCTCAGTTGCTTCTTGGTTTTGTTTACATGAGTCAGATGTGAGGCAACCTTGATCAGGCGTTAGTAACTGAAATGTGAACAGAAGAACGTTTGCTTTTGACCAACGGGAAACAGAATTAAGTTGTTGGGCCTGTTGAAACAACGCTGTGGCTGAAATTTCACCACGCTTTAGTCAAACCTAGCTAGGAAGTTTTTTTTAGAAACCTTAACAAATATGGGTGCAGGAAATAATGTAACACCGTACTCAGGTGTGTGTGTGTGTCTGTGTGAATGCGTGCGTGTGTGTTTGTGTGTTTTTCAGCTGCTGGAGACCTGACCGTGTCTCTCCCCGATGGCCTGACAACACTGGATGGAATCCACCTGCAGCTGACCCAGGCCAACCTGGTGTGCCCCAACGTTCAGATCTCTGGCATCGATGCAAGCAGCATCAACAACATCACATTACAGGTGAAAACACACACACACACACACACACACACACACACACACACACACACACACCACACACACACACACACACACCACACACACACACACACACACACACACACACACACACACACACACACACACCTCCTATTGAACTGAATGGTTAAGCTTCCACAGTGATGTACAGCCTGTTGAATACCCAGTCTTATAAATAAGTGTTGAGACTGAAGGATGATCAGTGTTCTTGGTGTGGGTTATTTGGGTTGGTACTTTTAAATGTAAGCCACTAAAGATTTCCTCCCATCATTGTGACATATTTCAGTTCATAATCCCCACTCCACCCACCCACACACACACCATCATGATCATTGTGCTTGACTGTGTTAGCTGAAGAGTGTGTTTTCTTACACCGACTCACTCCCTTGTAGGCATTGTGGTTGAAGACTTCAAACTTTGTTTTTCTAATATTTTTCTTCATATTGTCAGAGATGTTGCTCTGATGCCTTTTTGCAAACTCCCAGCAGTCTGCTGTGTTACTTTTATTAAACTCATGGCTTTACCTGCAATAAATACTCATCTGGTGGATGGAGCCGTCCTGCCGGGATGTTATTGCCCCAGTGACTCACAAAGACTTATTGAGATCACCCTGTTCTCTTAGTGCTGCAGTGGCAGTTTGAGTGTTTTTCACCCAGTAATAATAATAACAATAACAATAATAATAATAGTGACTGTAAATGCAGCAGAAAGGTCCAATGGTGTTGCTTTAAAAGAACATTTGACAGGAGCAACAGAAGGAGACTCAGCAGAAAGTGTGATGAGTTTTGTTCAGTCAGCTGTGAAAGTAATGAATTTAAATTGAGTTTTTCTGGCTGCACACAAAGCATGGTTTTTATGCTTAAGCAAGTGGTTACTTGTGTTTTCTTTTCTTTATGTATGTAGAATACCAATTTAAATCTTCACAGAGCTGGTACTGAGCAGCTTTAACCTCTGATAAGGTCAGAAGTCCTCATTCACACTCATAGTGTTAATTATAGAGCTGTCCTTGGAGGCGCATGCGTGTGTTTGGAAAAAGCTATCTGCTATTAATGATACCCACAATGCATTAGCTACAGCTGCTCCTTTACTGAAATAGTTGAAGAAAGATTTTCTTAAAAACTCCTAAAACTTATTTTAATAACACCCACATACATACTAACATTAGATGTTGTGGCAGAGATGATGTTTTTGCCTCCAGTGATCGGGTCATTATTAAACATTATTGAAAGGGAGAAACCCGTAGCAGAACAGTCGGGAGCCGATTCTTTATACAAATAAAATCAATTATAAATTTATCAAAGCTTCTGAAAACTCATCATAGTGTTTTTTTTAAATAAACATTCAAATATTCTTGATAAGACCAGTAAACAGACACCCTTAAATGTTTGTTTAGAGACATTTTCCAGCCTATTAACCGGGTTTTGTAAAAGTTGTATATAATTCTTATCTTACCTGTTGTAGATGGCTCCCTCAGTGGCCTCTGTTTGTAAAAATAGTGTCTACATGGTGTTCCTCATGGACCAGGACTGGACCTCACTGAGCCCGTCCATCACTGTGAAGCGAAAACCAAAGCATTAAAACTGCTCCAATCATAACTTTCACAGTAGTTCCTGCAAACATTACGTTTACATTGTTGTGACTTTGGCAGTATGAGTTATTATTTGGCAGGAATATTAATAAATATCTGGCTGACACAACCTCTGATCCAGCCATGTGATACATGTTGATGCTGCTGGGTATGTGTTTACAACCATAGATTTCCATTTCAATAACCTTATAATGTGAAGTTGGAGGAGTTTAAATATTTAAATGTTCATGAACCACAGTCAGAATTAGAAAATGTGAGCCTCTTCATTACAACAGTGAAATGCTTTTGAATTGGCTGCACCTGGACAAGCAGTTTGCCCATGAGCAGTAAGAAGCTGTTTCTCCATTAGCCTCCTTCAAGTCCCTCAAACAAGTGTAGGCCACACTGATATTTACACTGGCTTTAGCTCTTTGCCTTACCTCCAAAGATATATTACCCTTACTTTTACTTCCAGGCTCTGTCATTGTTCCATAAAAAATGCAAATTCTTATTCTTTTTCTTCTTCTGCTGCTTTTTATTGCTGATCAGCAAACTGTAAAGCTAACTGCTAGCTTTTATATTAGCTACCGGTTAGGGATGTTCCAATCACGTTTTTTTTTGCTCCCGATCCGATTCTGAGTCATTTGATTTTGAGCATTTGCCGATACCGAGTCCCGATTCGATCCTTTTCAGAAAAGCATTAAAATAAGAAGAAAACACATCCCAAATGACCTTTTAAGGTTCACTTAAATTTTTTTATGAAGTATACCATTAAGTTATTGCAGTTAAACAGGTAAAGACCTCCCACTAGTGTACCTACCGGGCAGGCACCTACTCTTACCGCAAAACTGTTTAGTGCAGTTTCTGGTCAGCAGAGGGCTACAGAGTGCTGTCCAATGGGAAGTTGTTCACGTTTCTGGTTCAAAAACCAGCCTAACCCTTCCACTGTCTTTATGGGTGACCCCGCGAGGAAAGTTGACCATTGAGCAGGATTGATGGTTTATCCCTTGAAGTCCACGTGGCAAGGGGGAGGTGGTGCTCACTCCTCACCCCTGCCACATGGACCCAAGGGATAAACCATCAACCCTGCTCAATGGTCAACTTTCCTCGCGGGGTCACACCCATTAGGACAGTGGGAGGGTTAAATAGCTTAAAGTGCTTAAAAACTCTTTAGTGTTGCTTTAACAAGCAGAAACGTCCTCCATTCTAGGGTTTGACTGATATATAGGGCCGATATTTACCATTTTTTTTAATTTATCTGCATCGGCCGATATACCACCTTAATAAAGTCGATTTTAAAGTCTGGCACATCCCTGGGCAGCCTGGTGCCGTAACAGAATTTAATTTAAGAGAATATTTAAATTCTTGAATAGCATCTGCATTAAACATTTTCAAAAAATTATTTTCTAACAACATTTTTTATTATTAACTATTTTGAATATTTAATACAGTTTATGAATTTGTTTGATTTACTTTATTTAGATGTCTGACTTTTAACACTGAGCAGTGCACACAATTATGACCTAACAGTTGGTTAAATTCAATTTTCAATAACTGATTTAGCTTCAGAAATTTTGTGCATCAAATTATGTTATTAGTGACATTTTAGCATGCAAATACGGTGGAAGGTGTCTATTTGGCCATGAATATTGGCCCCCAAAAATTGGCAGTACATATCAGCCATCAGCTGATCACGTCTTCTACGAATCAGTATCGGCAATAGGAAAATCAATATCGGTCGACATCTACTCCCTCCCATCCTGTTGCATACCACATCTCTGCTGTTTGTTTACTCTAAACAGCTTTGGTCAGCCTTAGGCTTTTTAAATATAATTTCTAGTCCTATCCTTCAGTGTATCTTCCAGTATTTTTGTCCTGTTACTAATGTGTAGTTGCCCTTCAGATGCGCATTTATCCCTTTGCGCTTATGGAGCAGGATCTGTCACAACACTTTCTCTGCTGAGCCAAACACTCAGGCGGCAGACACAAATTAAACTGCTGTTATAGTTTCAACTTCATAACTACTTGCCTACAAGTTGTGTTGATGAGTTAAGTGTAATTGTAGCCACAGACGTAGACGAAGGCGCAACAAACAAAAGGCCCACATTTGCATGCAAATACATTCATCAGGTGTTTTCTATGCCACCCAGCACCAACTACAGTAATCAAAAGCAACTTCCCAAAATTCATTTCATTCATCGCTGACTGTGTTTTCTTAGCAGTGTGATTTAAACACTTCATTATTTCTGCTAGTTCTGCTACTTTGTTTTTTAACTCGACCGTCTCTCCCATGATTATCTACAGGGTCCTTTAGTGCAGGGCTTGATGTTTGGAACTCAGCTGCATGTGTGTGTCGGCCCCTGATTGCCAATCACTCTGGTTGCATTTTCCCATTCATCAAGCACCTTGCAGTCCCTTGCCACCCTAGCATTTTTTGCAAAGTTGCTCTAAATGGAGACAGGCACTTTAATCGTTTAGATGTTGGAAAGAAAACTGGAGAAAAATACAACTAACAAGCAAACATCGAAGGTCCCTGCAATGGATGCCCTTGAAATGCCTCCATAGAAGTTACTAGACTTTTTTGATGTCCATAGATTTGACAGTAGTTAATCTTTTGTTTATTTTTTACAGATAATTTACAAAAAATTAGTATGCCTCTGAAGTGCTTCACAATGTGAAACTCATTAAAATCCCCCTGGTTTTTAGTCCATTTTATCCGGAGAGAAACCCACACATCTCTCTCCCGAATAGCATTCCCAACTCCTCCAGGGGAATCCCAAGTGGTTTCCAGATCTGCCCCAGGGTCTCCACGCAGTAGTGCATGCCCACAAAACCTCCAAAGATAGGCAACCAGTAGGCATCCCAATCAGATACCAGAAGCAGCAGCTCCACTCTGACCTCCTGTCAAAAGATGAAGCTTCTTCTTCTTCTTCTTCTTCTTCTTCTTCTTCTTCTTCTTCTTCTTCTTCTTCTTCTTCTTCTTCTTCTTCTTCTTCTTCTTCTTCTTCTTCTTCTTCTTCTTCTTCTTCTTCTTCTTCTTCTTCTTCTTCTTCTTCTTCTTCTTCTTCTTCTTCTTCTTCCTCCTCCTCCTCCTCCTCCTCCTCCTCCTCCTCCTCCTCCTCCTCCTCCTCCTCCTCCTCCTCCTCCTCCTCCTCCTCCTCCTCCTCCTTCTATAAATGAGATAGTACTAAACACCAGTCGCCATTTTCTAGGTCCAAATTCCAAATTTCTTTTGTTGTTCCAAATGGTGTTTTTCTTTTTGGGACTCTGGTAGTTTGTCCTAAAGTTGAAGTGGTAGCAGCCGGCTGTTTCTCCTTCTCTGATATTATTGAGTGGAGAACCTCTCACACCAGTGGTGTCCTGCTGCTAAATACATAAGTGCATAATGAGTAGAGGACCCAGGTACATGCAGAAGTGCTGCGGTTTGGTGAGACAGTGAACCAGATGGTCCAAAAGTTGCTTTCAGTCCAAGCCGTGTAATCGGCTGAGGTTTTTAGACAATTGCGAGAGGACAATTTAATTTGTTTTCTCTCTGCTTTAAAAGTCTCATTTTCTCAGTAAATCTGGTGTGGTCTCTCATATGAATTAACAAATGCCTTATGAGTCATTTTCTGTGGAAAGAAAGCTCTGGCGCTCCTGTTTCAGGAAGTACTATTTAGTTGGAGGAGTGGGGAGCAGAAAACGACGGCAATACAAGTCATACTCATTAATATTCATGATATTTTTCATTTATTTTTATTTGTAAAGCCCCTTCAACGACCTTATTGGACGCCTAAGATGCTGGACAGTGCAACTAGCAACAAGTGCAAGTAAAACCATATAAAACAGCCATTAAAACATAAAAGCTAATAAAAAGGTAAAACCAGCTAAGAAGGTGACTGATGCATGGTTTAAGGAAATTCATTCCATAGCCTAGGAGCCAACACTGACAACGCACAATCCCCTTGTGACTTTTACTTTGAACATGGAACTACCAACAGTTCCATATGCAAATGCATCACCTCTGATTGGCTAACAGCAACACAACTCTTTCTCTGCCTTCTTCCCTCCTCTTGTTTTGGTAAAACAATGCAATGTTGATGTTTTTCTCCACAAATAACGCCAGTCTGAATGTGTTCCGCCATGTTGGAAAAGTTGTCCAAAATCTTCTCAAATGTTAAATAAATTCCTCCCAGTTTGACTTGGACTGTGGCTGTTGCTCTCGAGACTTAGCCCTGCTGTGTTCCACTTGATGTTTCACCTGAACTAGCTCGTTCTCCCGCAGATCGACCCTGCTCTCCTCCAGCAGACCTTACAGCAGGGTGGTCTCCTATCTCAGCCCTTGAGCATGGACACCAGCCTGGTGCCACACTCTGGCAGCCAGCTCATGTCTTCAGCTGACCCCTCTGTGTCTGCCAACGTTGTCATCCACCCTCTGACCAGCTTGGCCCTGCAGCCCTCCAGCATCACGTCCCCACAGGTCTCGCTGACTGGGCTCTCTGAGCAGGACGCTGCAGGTGTGTGAGGAGACCTTTGTAAATGGTTTATTCTCTCTGTTATGATTTGATCACCAACTGTGCCTGCATGTGAACAATGTAGCCTCTCAGGACCTGAACCATGTCATGAGCAGCGGTGGTCTGGTGGCAGGTGGCAGCAACAGTCAGGAGATCACTCTGACCATCAACAACTCCAGTCTGACACAAGCCCTCGCTCAGGCCCAGGCTCAGGCCTCAGGTGCCTGTTCCAGCACGGCTGCAGGAAACCCTCAGGAAATCACCCTCACCATATCAGGTTTGGAAAGCTTTATAGAGTTCACTGAGCTCGACTTTCCTCTAGCGCAGAGGTCTGCTACACACCATCAATAACAAATAAGCATGAAAAGAGAAAATTCCTAAAGGATTGGTGTGCTTATTGATATCTTTCTCAGAAAAACAAACACTAGTGGGCAGAGAAGGAAAGCAGAGAGAAATAAATTGCAGTCCTGTCCTTTTGCTGGAAGAAGCTACGACCGTCCAAATGAAAATGTTGCACTAATGGAAGTTATGAGTTCTTCCAGCTGACTGTATCATCTGGAGATACATTTCATATTCAGTTCACAGCTGGAAACATGTAACTTTGGTATTTGGGCCCACATGCTTAGATCCACCATTCCTCCTTGGATGAGACGATCTATTTTATTGGAACTTGATGTTTCAAAAAAAGACTTTTTCTCTCGATGCAATACAATGCAGAAAGTGTCAGGTGTTGCTTTACCTAAGTTTGGGAGGAAAACGCAAATATTATGTATTCAATAGAGTTTTAGAGAAGGCAACTTTATGATACTTAATAATGGGTCTCAACATGTTTATCAAAATATTTAGGTTACAATCAGTTTATGAATCATATAGATGGTATTCTGTCAATTTCCCTCTTTCCAAAGATAGAAACAATCTTTTGTCTAATTTCTGCAGCTCTGATTGCATTTAATTCATGAGCAAATGAGAAAGCACAGTGCCTATGCTACTTTTATTTTATTAGCACCTCATTTGACTCTGAATTAGTGTCAGAATTACAACTCAGACAACACAACAGTTATAAATTTGCACAAAAGTACCCGTGACATTCAGCAGGTCTAAGCAATCTGCATTTATTTAGCTCCTGATCACAGTTCTACTTGCTGCATGAAAGACGTGTGTCAAAAACACATCCGATATAAAGGCGACGGAGAGAAAGATTGCCCTGGTTCGTCAGAGTGATTTTTATGTTTGTTAAACTCTGCTGCAATGTTCTCGAGTCATAAAGGGCTTTTCTGATGTTCTAACAGAAAATGGCAGCATCTAGATGTTACCACACTACAGACTATGTCTGACACTGGAAGAGGTATTAAAATAGCATTTTCCTGACATGCCTGCCCTGTTTTGTGAAGGCAATGTTCAGCAGATGCTTCTATCTCTCATTTTTCTTACCCTGGTTGTATCTACCACCACCCCACTGGAGATGATAATTATTCTAAAGCCTAATTTATACTTCTCCATCTGCGTCTCTACGGACACATGCAACGCTGTTATGCGTCGGCGTAAGAACTTTCCAACGGGCTTCCCAGAGGGTGACAGCAAGCTTGTGATTGGCCAGGATGCTGCTTCCTGTAAATTCGTCAACAGCGTTGCCTTTGCCCCCTCCAAAAATAAAAGATATTTAGCAGCAGACATGGAACAGATCGAAGAACACATCGTAGAAAAATTCTGAAAATATGAACGTTTATTCACCCATGACTGAAGGAGTACAAAGACATGTAGCAAGTGTTTTCTTTGTGGCTGGAAAAGATGAGAAACGTGAGTTTAGAGGTGCCAATCGCATAAAGAGGTGGAAGGGGGACAAATTTGTTTGTGTTCAAAAGTCACAGAATTACATTAAAATAATGTAAACGCAATAGTAGGTACGCTCTCATGGACCGGATCCGTGACTGTAGCGGTGGCAGGACACGTCAGAATAGCGCTACGCCCTCTGTTGTCTTCCGGGGAATTGTTTTGGAACAATCGCCAGCTGATGGAGAAGTCTGGGAGCAAAACGTGTCTTTCAGTGTGTGTGCGCCTCTCCCTCACGAAGCTGACAGAGAAGTATAAATTAGGCTTAAGTGTGTGTTGCATTCCTTAAGGATCAGAAACGTTTTTGCATCAGCAGAAATTAAACGACACCTGAATCAGTGCACATAAAAGTTTTAGGATTAAGACAAAGATAATTAAAATTATCGAAGGCAGGTTTTTAGGGAATTCTGGCAAATAATTCAATATGCAATGCTTGCATTGCATGCTTGTTTTGTGACTGCGGTTTATCTTTTTTTTAAATTCCTCAAATCTCAAAAAACTTTCCCCGAATATCCCCACAGGTCAGGACCTGCTCTCACAGAACTCCAGCTCCAGTGGTGCAGAGATGAACGGCAGCATCCGGCTTGCATCGCCACTAACTAGCCAGCCCACCAGTGCAACGCTGACCATCACCAATGACCAGCTTCTACCTCCGAGCACAGCCAGCACTGAAATGACAGGTCAGGACTGTGGCTGCTGTCTTTCTGTTTGACCAAGGAGAAATAAAATAACAGAAGTTGGAATCCTGAAAGGCTCTTTATCTCTCTTAACTTAGCTATGTCTTCCACATGCTGCTGCAACAATCTGGAAAGAGGTTAAGAGTTAAGTAACTGTCTTTAGCTTGAGCATTAACAGCTTTAAATTGGGATTATCAAGTTTTGAGATATGAACTTAACTATGATTCTTTTCTTCACAAACATGGATTGAGTCAGAAGATCCTCCTGCAGGAGCATCATTGAGTTTTCTGATAAATTAGATCATTTTACTGGAATAAACCTCTAACCTCTTTCCTGAGAGAAGTAGAGCGCCAGTGGACAGTCCTGTTAGGACTCAGATTTTATGTCTCAAAGCAACTCCTAGAATTTCATTGTCTACCATAGAACAAAAATGTCATAAGATGGGAGGACTATGAATTAATGACACATTCTAATTGTGTAGACCTGTGTGTGATAGCAGGAATGAAGCTGTGCTGAGATCTATTAGGACTTGCATTGTGAAAGACGGCTGCCCTATTTGCTCGTCACCTAAAGGCGTAATCAAATTTCCTTTCTCATATCTCTCTTTATTAATTACCCTCGTCTCTCAACTGGAGTGAAAAAAATAATCCCTCTGCATCTCTGAGACACTGAGAGCATCTCTTTTGTTGATTAGACTACCTATCACTCTGTATGCAAATACAGTCCAACCTGCTCTTTGACAGGGATGCTGTTTGAAACTGGCTTATCTATTTAATTCAAATCAAAGTGTTAATTCACCTCTAATGGGATATGGAAGCTCCTCTGTGACCAGAACATTTCAGTTTCCTTTTGTTTCTGTGTTTGTCTGAGAGCAGAGCACCTAGAGGGCTTTGATCATCTGCTGCTCGCAGACGCAACAAAACACGTTCTGTCATCTCAGCTATCTCTATTTATAAAGAGGTTCTACTCAAACACACGTCCTGGCTCACCTTGGAAAGCATTCCTGTGATGATGCATTAGTGCTGCTCAGAAGGAAGAAAAAACTCAAGGGGAAGGGTTTTTATGTTTGTTTTGTTTCCCGATTTCTACATTAGAATTGAATGTTGTGATAAAATAACACCTTTGTTCTCCTGAGCTCTGCTGTGTTTGTTAATGTTAATTGTTCAGAGTGTTCTGCTTTAATGGGGTAAACTACAAAACAACAAATCAAAGTGTTCCTGGACTTTCACAGCAGCATCTCAAGAACACACCCTGTTGAACTTATTTCAATCTATCACAATAAAAGCATCAATCATTAACATTTGCCTTAAAATACCAGAAGCCCATGATAGTCTTTCCAAACATTTCATTTTTGTCTCAAATTTTCCAAAAAATCAAGATAAAAATATTTTTCTCTCAACATTTCCGTCTTCATTTCCAAAAGATATAAATAACCCTAACCCCAACATGTTAGTTTTAATCAGGGCATTTTACTCTAACAATAGAACAAGGTACGGTAACAACAGTAGTCTTTATCCTCAATGTTCTTTTTCTGACATATTTCCTGAGTCCAGATCAGCACAGGATAATTACAAAGCTGTTAAATTCTTATTTTCAACAATTCCACCTGTATTTTATTCACCATCATTTATTTATATAGCACATCTGGGAGCTTTCCAAAGTGCTGCACAGGCTGGACCATATCACAACTAATCAAAGCAACAAAAAACAGAGGATAAAAATTAGGGCTGTCGCGGTTGAGGAATTCCCCCTGCGGTGATTCAGGGTGGCTTAATATTGCGATATTATTGCAGCACTTTTTTTTATTGCAGTACTATCTAAACATAATGTTTACACATTTAAAAAAGGTTAAAAATTTCCGTGCCTTCTTTTATAACACTTTACTGAATGCAGATCAAAGGGCAGTAACAACACAGATCGCAGTAACGTTTGTTTGTCCGACAGTCGGAGTCCGACTGAACTTAAAAACAACAAAATTCAGGAGAAGGTTAAACTTTTAAACACAAATTTGGCTGCAGCATCTAACATATAAGAAACAAGTCCCCATTTTGTTTAGTTGTTTAAAATCAAGCATAAAAAATTACATGTACCGGGCGCGGGGCACTATCATTTCACTTTCACTTTCACACACACGAATGACGGTGATTTATAGCTCGGTCACGTCCTTGTTACCCACAAGGAAAACCAGCATGTTAACCATATACGGTTTGAGAGAGGATCTGAGAGGGGTGGCAACATTTCCAGCAACACCGAAAACCCTCTTGGATGGTGCGCTCGTTGCACTAACACACACGTACTTGCGTGCGACTGGCGAGCAAAGGGAATCTCTCCCGGTTGTTGCTCCACCATGTCAGGGGGGGTTTCTTTAGGGTGGATGCATTCCTCCTGCAGGTAGCGAGTGAGCTCCAGCTCAGCTCAAACTCTCTTCGGGATGGTTGCAGAAGCAGTGCTTGTCCGGGACTTCAGCAGGTCTCCGAGCGTTTATTATTATTTCTTTGCCGCTGGTGGCAGCTCTGTCTCGGCCAGAAGCAGAAAAAGCTTTTGATAGATTTAACTGGAAGTTCTTATTTGCAACTTTACATAAATTTGGTTTTGGGAACTTCTTCATAAACTGGCTACAAACATTATACAGTTCACCAACAGCACGTGTCAGGACGAACGACCAAATATCAGCTAGCTTCTGTCTTCAGAGGGGGACCAGGCAGGGATGCCCACTCTCCCCCTCACTATTTGCTATCTTTATTGAACCACTAGCAGCAGCAATTAGGCAAACAACAGATATTAAAGGGATAAAGTGTAAGAAAATGGAACATAAGATCAGTCTTTATGCAGATGATGTTTTACTCTTTCTCCAGAATTCTCAATCCTCTCTCTCCCAAGCAATAGAACTGATAAACTCTTTTTCCAGAGTTTCAGATTACTCTATAAACTGGTTAAAATCCACAGTTCTACCAATTAATTTCTCATTTGTCAATTTGCTTAATACACAATTGGAGTCAGGGAATATCACATACCTGGGAATTAATATCTCTCCCAAGTTAGCAGATCTAACCAAACTAAATTACATCCCTTTTAAGGAAAGTGGAAGATGATCTTGCTAGATGGAAATCCTTACCAATATCACTCATGGGGAGAGTTGCTACAATTAAAATGATGGTCTTACCCAGAATAAATTACCTATTCTCGATGATCCCAAACAAACCTCCAGCTGACTGGTTTAAATCTCTGGACTCCTCAATTACTAAATTCCTTTGGCAGGATAAACCCCCACGAATTAGCTTAAAAACGCTTCAGAAGACCAAAGACAGAGAAGGACTGGATTTACCCAACTTTTATTATTATTTCTTAGCCAACAGGCTGCAATATATACCAAGATGGTTGCAAGATAACCCATTAGACGAGTCCTGGTTAGATATAGAACAGACACTTTGCAATACGATAGAGCTTTCAGACTTACCATTTATTAGCCCAAGCATAAGAAAACATGAAAGCTTCAAAAGTATTAGTATCAGCACCTCTCTGACAGCATGGTGGGAGTATCTTAAAATGACAGTCTTCACTAGTACCATGCAGATGCACACCTATCTGGAATAATCCTGACATTTTGCAAAACAACAAAATGATGAACCTTCCGGACTGGAAAAATAAAGGAATCCTATACCTGGAACACATATATGAAGGATTGGACTTCATTCCATTTAATCAAATAGTCTCCCAATTTGGAATGGATAAGAATAGCTTTTTAGAATATCACCAAATTAAATTTGTAGTCAAACAAAAATTTAAGCTCAATAAAATAGAATTACAAACACAACCAAGAGTATTAGACTTTTATAATCTCAAACCCCCCAAAATACTGTCTAAAGTATATAAGACACTGTCCAAAATAGACGATAAAATTGCAATCCCTATTGAAAAATGGGAGGTGGATCTATCAGTCAGCTTTGACCAGGACTTCTGGTCCCAAACTTGTTTAAAAACTTTTAAAATGATCAGACACCCCAATTTACAATTAATTCAGTACAAAATTCTACACAGAGTACACTATACAGGTCATCGGATGTTCAGGATGGTGTTTGTGTCGTCTGACACCTGTACACACTGCACAAACAACATTCCTGACAATTACATTCATGCACTGTGGTCCTGCCCACCTGTCCAGGAATTTTGGGGTAGAGTATGTGAGGATCTGTCAAATTGTCTGAAATGTCATATCCCAACTTCCCCCTCTCTTTGTTTACTGGGAAACCTGGACGATGTCCCGATTGCAACATCTTTGGTTCACGTGGTTCTGACTGCCATATGCATCGCTAAGAAAACTATCCTCTTGAATTGGAAAAATAAAGAAACTCTCTGCATTAACCAGTATAGAAATCTTTTGTTAGATCATATTGCACTTGATATAGCCTCTGCTTCCACTTCAGATGAATCTCTCTGGGCTCCTTTGATCGGTTCCATCACATAGCGAGGGTGGGGGGCCGTTGATGTTGTCCTGCGGGATGGTGTGGGTGGGGGGGTGTGGGGTCTGAGTTTGGAGTATCCGGATGTTCCCTGGAGGTGGGTTCACTGGGGGTGTCTGAGACTGGGGGGCCGTTGCCCCCCTCTGGAGGTGCTTGGGTTGCCTCGGGGGGTGGACTGCTGGCGGTTGTGAGTGGGGCCCCTTGGGGATCTTGGCGGCGGCCATGGGTCACTGCCTGGCGGCTGCAATGCCCCTAGGCGGGTCTGAGTGGCGGCCTGGGGGCTCGGGGTTTGGGGGTGGCCGGCCCCGTGTGGGGATCTGGGCGGGGCCTTGGGGGTCGGGTCCTGACATGTATGCTGCCGGGAAGAAGGCAGGGACACCCAGCAGTGCCTGGCTCGGGTTCGGGGGCCTCAGGTAGACCTTGGCTCCTCTGCCGTTCCATCACAGGGGAGGGGGAGGTCCAGGAGGGGGAGGACCCAACCTTACCTGGATGTCCCATGTCTTATATATTCTGGAAGTTGTGCAAATGCAGGGGTGGGCATAG